GACAGGTAAAAAGGAGGGACAGGTGACAAGGAGGGACAAGTGACAAGGAGGGACAAGTGGCAAAGAGGGACAAGTGACAAGGAGAGATAGGTGAAAAGCAACAAAAATTAAGACACTCGAACAAGAGGTCGCTTACACGGGACGTCGGCCGCCCGCACGAGAGAGACAGAGAAGGGAAATGTAAGGAATCCTACCTACATAATAACTTATGTAAGGAATCCTACCTACATAACATAATAACTTAATGTAAGGAATCCTACCTACATAATAACTTAACCCCACAACTGAGACCTGCAGTCAGACACCGCGAGCTCAGCGGTGGGGCGCTCAGGAAAAATGACAACATAATGATGGTAATGTACCGATATAAGGAAAGTAATCATACTCACCCGATTATAAGGATCAGCCTCCTCAGGACCACACTACAAATATCACTTCTGATCACTCTCGTCTGGTGATATCTTGGTGATCACTCGCCTAGAGTTCAGACCATCAAGTCTCTTGGTTGTTTTGATTATTCTGCCGGTACGAAGCAATCAAAATATATAATAAAAAACCGGAATGCGCATAGTTTCAGGAACCATCAGGTCTATAAAATTTTAATCAACAAACGCCTAGGTCTGAGTAACCATTTTGATAAAAAACGAAAAAATCCTAAGACTTGATATGAGCGGGCGAAAAACTTTCTCAAAACCAAGGGCGAATCGGCCATGGAAAATCTAAAACAATATAACAAAAATCGGCAAGGGAATTGTTACGCCACGCGATCACGTTCACCACAATAGAGATTTCTATGATTTCACATCCAAAAATTCATTGGTATGGATAAATGCTACTACAGACACGCTTTAAGTTAATTAAACACAGGCTCGTTTAATTATTAATCTCTTAAACACAGGCTCGAACACAAAATATTAATCTCTTTAATTTTCGAAGTGCCATATTGATAATGACCTTATATTATTATGTTGAATAAATGCGGTCGGTGGGACCCAAGTGATCGCTAAAAATGTCAGTTATTTGACCTGGGCATAAATTTTTTGTTTGGGCAGTGGGCAGAAGTGAGTGGCGGGCATGAGGTGGCTGGAGGGTGAAATAGGAGGTGGGCACGCACACCTGCCGCAGAAGGCGACGCAAGAAGGACTGCAGCAGCAGCCGCGGTGCCGTAGCTTCCATCTGCCGCACTATCGACCCGCCGCAGCCACTCAGCCATGCTGCCAGCCACTCAGCCAGCTGGTCGTAACTCGCATTACAATAGGCAGAAACTCAGGGACTGGATGCTGAGATAAAACATTAAATTATCCCGTGATTGAGAGAACCACGAAGTCTTGATTGACTATCAAGACATTTATAGGCCGCTGGCCTGATGGTCTTAATTGTTTCGTTTCGTTATTGGGGTCATAACTAACCGAAACCAACCAACCACATAAAGGTAACCATCGTCTATGGTTATAATCATAGATAGATAGGAGCATAACCTACATAATATGTTCATAAGGATAGGGTGGCCCAGTGGTTACAGTTCAGAGTGCGAATATTGGATCAGAACGTTGTGGGTTCGAGATTACAACAAGCTGTGAACTCCACCGATCGAAATATTCTCAATCTCTTGTGAACAAAAATCCAACCTTGCCGACCAACACCCCGAAAACTCCAAGGGCCCTGATCAAATTTTCCCAACACACCTAACAATTTTGTTGAAACCTTCGCATATCTGCCTAGAAATACCTGGCATTCTGCATTATAACTACGGTACCTATCAAAATATTCAACTTTTCCACCGCATACTATCCACCTTCACAACATAAAACTCAGAAAGCGTCATCCCATCACCCTGCGCCCAGTGCTCTGCCCAGACAGATCAGCACGTGGATCACCAGAAGAACCTAAAATTCCCAAGTCTTGAGAATTTGAGGTTCTCAAGTCTTGAGAATTTGAGGTTCTCAAGTCTTGAGGTTTTTGAATAATTCTCAAGACTTGAGAATTTGAGGTCCTTCTGTTGATCCACGGGGGGATCTTCTCTGGGCAGGGCAAGGCAGGGTGATGGGATGACAGGATCGAACCAGACTGGAAAAGAAGGCACAACAAAACGTTAGTATCCCCTATCGCCTGCTTTCAATTTGAACGGAGAACTTGACCAGTGGGTAAGTAAAATTCTGATTTCTGATAATAATACGCATGGTGAAACCAAGAGGAACAATGTCAGTGAAACCGTTAAAAAAAACTTCGTATTGAGACCAATGTCGCCATTTTTTACAGTGTATACTGTTGAAGTTTTGATTCATATTGTCTCGCAGCATTGCTAGTCTCTCGAGTTCAACTAATAAAACATTCGGTGAAAACAGGCTGCTAAACGTGGAAACTGGCGCTGAAAGCTGCTCAACTGTGAAAATTTACTCTGAACCATTTTTAAAATGTCATAATTTATTAAATTCCTATTGAAAATTAAAATGTTTATCAGTCCTGACAGTCCTAGGTAGGTACAAACAGTCCAAACTGCGTACCTCTTTAATTAACATTACGATTTATGCTGCTTGAAATATCCTGTTTAGTACCTTCAAGACAAAGACGTGCACGTATATTTTGTGGTCACGTATTATGCCCCTATTATCAACAGATCCTTATTGAATTTGTTAGCTAGCGATTCTTAATACATTTGTGTTAATAACATAGTGATGTCGGCGGTGAAGTGTAGGCCTGATGCGGCCTGTCGTGTTAATGCACAAAGCTATACGCGTCCGGTTACACCTTGCCGCCAGGAGTCACTATCAAACTCTAGCGATGAATCTACTGAGAAAATCACGAATTACTCTCAAATTAGCTGTAAAAAGAAAAAAGAGAATGCTGAATGGGCTAGATTTCTTGTTCCCACTATCAATTTGTGTTAACGATTGTCCTGCCTACATTTTTACCTTGTTCCTTTCTGCCTTAATTTTTCAATGGACTGAACTTTGTATTCATACACTCTAATTTACGCCTTAATATACCTGATGCAAACATGAAACCTCACTTTATATACCTAACTTGAACAAGTTGAGAGAGAATCCTTCAACGAAATGAAGCAAGCTCTGCTTAAACACGTCCCGCTCTGCCTATCTTCCATCTACAACTATCAACTTCAACTGATAATTTTGATTACGTTATCGACGCCACCTTGTCTCAGACGCGATTCTCTATTATCATCTGAAACGCCTTCAAAAAAAAAATTGTTATGCAATCGCCTTGAAACCTTACTGATGTTCAACATCATGCGCAATGTATGCCCACAAACATATCGTAGCTTTCTTCGCTCTCACAAACTGAAAATCGATGACGGTCATTCCTCGGCCTCTCTCATCTATGATGAAACTATGAATCATTACTTTATTTGCTATCAATGCATTACGTCTGAACTGCTATAACTTTTCTAACACTTGTCTCGCTTTTATGCCATTGATGCCTGAGCTTTCGATCCTATATGCAGAGCTGGGCAGCGCTACTTTGAAATGTAGCTGTCGCTACCGCTACCGCTACATGCTCTAAATGTAGCGGGCTATACCGCTACCGCTACAATTGCTTAAATGAAGCGCCGCTACCGCTACTGAAAATGTAGCGGCCGCTACATGTAGCGCGCTACTGCCCACCTCTGGACTAACAACTAACATGTTGACACTAGTAACAGAAATGTAGCGCCGCTACCGCTACTGCCCACCTCTGCCTATATGTATTGCTAAAGCATAGCCTACACTGAGCCTCTGCTAATTCAGTGCCAGGATGAACGACATTTTCTCAATACGCGTTAATTTTAAGATTGTCATTATATTACCGATTCAATCTTTCTTACGGAACTCCGTTCTCGCCGGGGAAGTTCTGTAGTGAATCAAATTCATAACCCGCACTATCACTTTTTGTGAACGCGGTGCGTCTTTCACACGCCCGTCCTTCTGTTTTGTAGAAAATGGATAATAAAAAGCCAACGCAATCCATCCTCGCACCTGTTAGGCCGACATTTCTTTTTCCCAGCGAACTTTCTCCACACTGCCTATGGCCTATGCTAACTGCTGTGCAAGTCTGAACAAATCTCAACTTTTGCAAATGTATCCTCATCAAGTTGTGTGAATTACAAGGACGAAGGCTATTGTTCGTACTGGTATTTCGTATCGTAGTAAATGATGTTTTAGCGTTTGATTATGATAGGTCGTTTTTTGTGTCGAAGCTTACACGTTTGACGTTGCCAGTGGAATGAATATCTACTTCGACTGTCCATATCCTTTACTCTATACAAGTTAGCTGCCCGAAATATCGTGCGGCAGGACCGCTACGCTGGGAACAAACATCATACTTATTTTTTATTAAATCCCCAAGCTAGTTGAATGCCATTCTTGTAGCTTCATATAACCTTATTAAGTGAAATTTAACAATTTATTTACTTAAATTTTCAATATTATTCAATTGTAAAATAATCAATAAAAAAATCAATTTTCAAGCATGCACAGTATCCGTCTAATTTCAGAATGATAAAACTGCAGTTAATGACAAAATATTTTTACGTTAAAATAGGGCCATTCAAAAATTGTAAAATCTGTTCAGAGTGCGCCACCGGGCAACATGAGATTCATTTATCTTTTTATTTTGTCAGCACTGATAGGAGTAAGCTGCCAAGTTCTTCTCTAGAATTCAATTCCTATAATGTAATTAAATAGTTTTAAGTGTAAGTGTCAAAACTGAATTACCGGATGCGACGGTACGCTAGTAGATGGTCAGCTGTGTGCCACCCGGGGCTCTTAACCCGGCTAGGGACTGATCTAGCGATTTGGAAAAATCGCTAGGTCAGTGACCAATTTAAGGTTGAAAGTATCACCATATCGCGACCCAGTTCAGGTCGAAGAGATCACCATATCAGGGACCGCCTTCAGGACGGAGCAATCGCATGACCGAGGTCACATGACTGCTGCGAGCGCGGTTTAACCAGCGTGTTGCCGCTAAATGACGCAGGTTTCTGTGCGTAGGTAAATAACATGACCTCTAATACAATTTATTATATACATTGCACAACGCGCAGTAATCATTCAATGGTCAAAAACTCAGAGACTCCTGTGACAACGACGTTCTGGTTCTAACTTGACCACGCAAACTGCAAGCTTAATTTCCCTTTAGCGTTCCAGCTGTTGAGTAAGGAACCTCAATGTAGAAATACCTTCCTGACGCTCTTGAAAGCTGAATACCAAATTAAATATAATAATATTCATGTGAAAAAAACACACGCATAATGCACCGTGGAACCTCAACAAATGTTCACTATAATTTTAAAATTACTATTCAATAATAAGAATCCGAGACATCAAAGGACATGAATAATTGGAATAAGTCAGATGATAATCGACAGTATTTCGTAGGGCCCGGATATGAAAGAACAATGAGCTAAATACGTTTGTTCAGTTCAAATAATTCATGGAGTAGAGGCGACAACTTTCTGGACAAAAATTGTCCCAGCATTACGCGCCTCCACACAACACAACGGAGCAAACCTGAAGCATGATATAGAATCAACCCAATATTGTCTACATCAGTCGTCGAACATAAAATACAGAAGTAACGGCAATAAATAGGCTGAGTACACGAATCGCATGTATATACATACTCCTACTCCAATCGATCAAACTATCTTAAAGATTACATTGCGATGAACAGATGTGCAAAAATGCATTCCACCAATACGCGGTGCATGCAATTCTTCAAAATTTAATGTAAGATAATAAGTTATAGGTACATCAAATTGACCAATCGGAGACTGATTCTCGAAAATAATAGCGTCATCTTGGGTACAAAAGATTATTTGCTGTTCATGTTGTAAGCTATATACAATTGAATTAGAAATAGAACACGACTTGACGATCATTGTGAAACTCAACTCTGTCTCCTGGCGGCTAATCACGCTCCCAAGACTCTCGATACGAATGCATTTGCAGACATAGCATTCCGATCACCGTAGGGAAGGTCTACTGAACTGTGGGCAGGGAAGTGGTGGAGGGAGCAGCCCAAGTCACCAAAGAGTGGAGGTAAGGAATCCTCCGCCACGTTGCTGAGTGTTGGTTGCGGTCAGTTACTTTGAGGAGACCCATCCGACCTCAGAAATAGCTTTACAAAAAGAAAGGATATCTCGTATCATTGCCCCTGGGCACCAGTAGTATGGCTTCCTTGTACCATTAAACGGGTCAATAGTAGTAAGACCAAACTCGTATCATTGCTACGGGTCAACAGTATCAGGACCTGAAAATATAAATGAGACCCATTCCGTGATTCCTATCCTTATCGAACTGCACAAGATTACCTTTACACTCTGTACATTAGAACGTTGTAGAATTCTAGTCTCTCTGACGAGGGCAAAAGCAAATTTTGTAAGCTAAATGCACATCGTAATGACACACTTTTGAGTCAAATTCCAACAAAATCGGGCCGAGGGTGGCACAATTGAGAGCACGTTCATCAAAACCAAAGGGACAACACAGCATGAAACGCCCATGCATCAATTCTTCAACACGAGTTGAACACTGATTTGTGTCACAAGTAACGTCCGTGGAATAAACGTGGTTGATACTCACGAAAAAGTTAACTCTTACACCAGTAATTACGAACTAATATAATAAGTAGTAATTTACAATTAAATCAAGTACATATTCTATATATGAATTGAGATAGAATAGGTGTACTGTTCCAGGGTGCGCGGCTTCTCCTTAGCTGGCAGCGGATATCCTGAAAAATAAAAGAATAACGCTACAGGCCAGACATCAGTAAGATAATAAGATTTGTGTTGGTGATAATCACTGGAAAGAGCAGCTAGGACTTACAGGATTTGGGGGCTACCCGAATATTATTGGAATTACAACAGGTCACCTTTGACATCGAACGACATTGTTACCATTTTTCTAATATTAGGAAACCAGAAAGGAAATGAAGCAAAATTTATCTAAGTAATGTTTAATCTTTCAGGTTTTCAATCTCAATGTGCCGATACCATTATTATAAAAATTCGTTCCATAACTGATCATTAAACCAGTTTACCTAGGTGAGAGTCAAGTCAGAGATAAAATGCAGTCATTCGTTTATATATGTTACTACTCTAGAAGCCTGCCAGTCTTTTGCGATAAGTAGTCGCATAGGAAAGTGACAGGTCATGACCACAGTACGCCTTCACATGGAATTACACTAGCGACAAGACAGTTAAACAATCATGTGTCCACAATACAAGGCTGCTAATAAATAAGCCAGAATAGAGCTGGCCTAATAAACAGGCATAGTGACGTCACACACGCGTTGTTCAGGCCACGGTAGCTCACATGTATTGAGCGCGTGGGTTGCCCACCACCCGCCGCCGCTCAGGCCACCAGCGCCCGCAGCGTAGACCCGCGGTACACCAGATCATTCAGCTCCTCTGTTGGCAGCATAGCATTAATACCAGGCAATGCGATTACCAAAGCGGATCAACATCATACAATAACACTATAAATAGGTACCTACAGCTTTGACTAACTATTGTTGTAGGTAATAATTAAAACAAGTAATTAGACGGAACTAAATTGCATGGGTTAACATTGAATACTGTATACAATATAGAAGTACATACATTTTCGCATGGTTAGAAGTACATTCATGGAATGATGCGTTGGAAGTACATACATATTCGCATGGTTAGGAAGTACATTCATGTGTATTGCATAGCGTTTAGAATTAAGCCGTCAAAAAAAGCATAATTTTATCAATAAGCTCAAATATAATACAAGCACAAGTGTGAACATCACATATGAACGCGAATAGAGGATATTCAAGTTCATACCGCTAACTTTCTTACTAAATACTAACCAAATCGATGAGAAAAAAACATTGATTCCCCAATCATTTTTTCTCTTAGTTACTTACGTATGTGGTAGAATATTAATGTACCCATTCAACTAACAATACCACAAAACGGATTTAAATTATATTGACAAATGAGTAGCTTCTCAAGCCAACGGATGGAGTAGCCGGAGGCATCATGAGCATCTTGAAGGCGAATCTTCGTATTAATAGCTCTATTAAAGGCTGTACTTTGATCATGGTTATTCGATATTGAGAGCCATTACTGAAGGTTCACTCACTAGCTGCCATCTGCGCCTCGTGTACACTGGAGAAGACCACGCGGCTTTTGAAGAGACGCGTGTCGAGTTCGATGTCACGTACGACGCCAAACCGGCTGCAGAGATCTGAGATGTCGCGCTTGTTCACGTGACCTGGCAGCTGCGGGCATATATAAATAGGTATTGAACAATAATAATAGACTTTAATCAAAAGGAAGTTTCTATCTGTTATGGATAACAGTTTGTATGAATTAAGCGCAACAGTCACGACTGTATCGTGCGATAGCTTATGTTAAAATAATACAAGTCGAATTCGTGTGTTGCTTAGACTACGACTGCAAATACAGTATCAGGCTGACAAAATTCAAAAGAATGATTTCCATGCAAGTTCCAAACTAGCATGCGCAAAAAGTCTATTCTATTCTAGAGCTTATATTCCATCTTCTACTTGAACTTACGTTATTGATTACAAGCTTTGCAGACTGTGATGAAGAGAACAGCGAAGTTCTTCCCAAGCTTGCACCCACAGGCGGGCCATGTAGTTCCGGAAGCCGTGGCTGATACTCCGCTCCAAGGCCAGCCGAATGGGATGCATAAGTATGAGAAGAATACGGTTGCCGGTAGTTGTAACTTGGTCCCGAAGGGGCTGTCGTGGAACCACTTTGAGGGTACCTAGAATGGTTTTGATAGGTATTTGGAGGGCGGCTAAAATCTCGATCCGAACCGTGATGCCAATCTTTGGTTACCGCCTTTTGCGGAAGGTTCGTGATACTTTCATTCCAAGCGGGCCTTCCAACATCTCTGCTTTCGAATGATTTAGCAGAATTTTCGTAACGACCACTACCTCTAGAATTCCATTGCGAATATTGCGCGGAATTGTTCCTCCCACTGTCGCGGATAGGAGAATCTCCTCGGAGGTATGGGTTCTCATTGCTACTTTGAGCCATCGGATTACTGACGCTGTTCGATATCTGAGGCACTATGCTTGACTTGTGCTGGTAATCAACAGTCAACGGTGCATTGGCAATGTTTCTTGGAATCACGGTGGCGACGCCACGGGTTTCAAAGTCAGCTTGGCGATTATGCTCGTAGCTTGAAATGCCATTAACCGATCCTTTCTGAACAGTTCGTTCAGGAGTCTCGAATTTAGAATGATTAAACGAACTCGTTGGAGCTATTGAGGTTCTAGCACTAGAATGCCCTTCAGGAGCCAATGGATCACGGAAAGTTTCATCGGTAGAGGGCTTACCATACGAGGAACTAGGTGGATCAACCCGATTTGCCGAATCCATCCTACTCTTTTCACGGAGGTAGGGGTTGTCGGTATCTCGACTCGACGAAGAATAGTTATCCACAGTTCGGCCAGACTGGTAGTCCATAGGTTCGCCATAGTAATCATTCCTCATCCGTTTGGCATTTGAGCCAGCTGAACTTGCTTCATTGGAATTGTCAGCAAGGTCTCGCTTCGACCCGCCAGTCTTCCACTGGTCAACCGTAGTATTTTCACGGGACTTGCTTGCGGTCTCGTGCGATTGATTTGGAGCAGAACCACTTCTCCACACATTCTCCACACACCCCCTGAAGTGTGCAGCGTATCGTCTGAGGTAATGGATTCATCAAGAGGCTTATTAGCAGCTTTCTCATGCGTAGTTGAATCAGCTGAACTTGCTTCATTGGAATTGTCAGCAAGGTCTCGCTTCGACCCGCCAGTCTTCCACTGGTCAACCGTGGTATTTTCACGGGACTTGCTTGCGGTCTCGTGCGATTGATTTGGAGCAGAACCACTTCTCCACACACCCCCTGAAGTGTGCAGCGTATCGTCTGAGGTAATGGATTCATCAAGAGGCTTATTAGCAGCTTTCTCATGCGTAGTTGAATCATGATCTATTCCAAAATGTTCTTTCGCTGCGGGATTTTTTCTGTTGAGATCACGGGACAAATTTGTAGTGTGAGATGCACCGGTCGCTTTCGAGGATAATCCAATTGCGACGCTAGATGGCGTGAGGTCATCTTTTGCTTTCCCAAAACCAGCTAACTTACTGCCAAACGCCTCATTTTGATTTGTTGGCTCATTCTTTTCACGCATCAAGTCATCATTATTTTTAACAACGTTACCATTAATTTCTCCCAAACCAGGAATCTTATCTGACTTCCCGCCAAATGATGCTTTCCCATCAAAAGGCTGGTTAGGATCTACACAATCAATGATTTGATTTTTCGTACTATTAACGATTCTTTGATCAGCATTGTCTTTCAGCAGTGAATTCTTTGAAGGTGTAATAGAAAATCCCTCCCGAGTTGAAAAATAGTTCATCCTACCACGAAAATCTTGCGAACTACGAGCGGTTTCAACGGGCAGCGAAGCAGTATTGGTTGTTTTAGTATTAGAAACACTTAAAGCAGGTTGGGAGGCAACGTTTGTGCTCTCAACAGGTGTACTGACGCCCGAGCCTTCGAACGCACTGCCCGAGATTTCATTCTCCGTTTTACCAAAGGCCCTGTTAATTTTATCCTTCATATCATCACTAGAATCGCTTTTGGTTCCCCTCCCAACACCTACATCAGTTGCTGTTCCGACACGAGCGGTATAATTGATGGACGTTCCTGAGCCCATCGAAGAGACCACTCTTGCCGCCGGATTGGGGAAGGTAGCTTTAACCGCAGGTGAATCAACAGAACTGCTCGCACTGGACATGTTAATGGGAGCTTCGATTCGAGTGCGTAAGCAGGGAGGATGAGTCTTAGTAGATCCGATCCCTGCTGGAACATCGCTAGTAATACCCTGGGCGGTAGGAATTTTGTCTGCATCCGGACCAGCAGCAGCAGAGCCGTTAATCCCTGGTCTTGAATAAATGTTACCTGCCCCTCTACCAGCAGTAGTAGTGTTAGTGGCACCTCTACCAGCAGGAACATTGGCCGTTCCTCTTCCAGCAGGAGCATTAGCGGCACCTCTACCAGCAGGAACATTGGTCACTCCTCTTCCAGCAGGAATATTGGCCGCTCCTTTTCCAGCAGGAATATTGGCCGCTCCTTTTCTAGCAGGAGCATTAGCAGCACCTCTACCAGGAGGAACATTGGCCGCTCCTCTTCCAGCAGGAATATTGGCAGCACCTCTTCCAGCAGGAGCATTAGCAGCACCTCTACCAGCAGGAACATTGGCCGCTCCTCTTCCAGCAGGAACATTGGCCGCTCCTCTTCCAGCAGGAACATTGGCCGCTCCTCTTCCAGCAGGAACATTGGCCGCTCCTCTTCCAGCAGGAGCATTGGCCGCTCCTCTTCCAGCAGGAACATTGGCCGCTCCTCTTCCAGCAGAAGCATTGGCAGCACCTCTTCCTGATGGTGGAGTTTCAGAACATCTGGTCAGTTGTTGGTTGGGAAGACCCCTTCCGCTCTGAGTTGCGAGGGCATCTCGGTTGGCCAAAGAGCTATTGACAGGAGCCCTCCCCGCTGCAGATGTTTGTTTCCCGATTCCAAAAGGCACGTGAATCTCCTCAGTGCGACCACTAATGTTCGAGGCATTACTTGCTCTATCATGAGCATTGGTGTAAGGGAGAGGACGACCTAATGCTCTGTCATAAACGTCGTTGCGCAAACTCATATCTGTGGAGGGAGAACTCCGGTGAAGGTCGCCATGAAGAACTCCTCCTGAACTATGACCTGGTCTATGTCCTGCGAAACCAGGTCGAGAAAGGCTTGATCGGAGGTCATCATGGGGCATGGTACCAGCGGGAACATCGGATGGGCCACGAAAATTATGGCCTCCCATAGGAGGCATTGAATGTTCAGAGATCGGATCAAATCCAGAATGAGGGAAAGGATTGTTGAGATGCATTTGACCAAAAGCAGGCGATACACCGGCACCATGGACGCCGATACCAGAGGGGACTGGAATATCGTCTGTGATAGGGAGACCGTTCACCATCTCGAAGTCTCTTCGGCGACATAAACGAACAGCTATCGACTGATCGTACAAGGGGTGTCTGTTAAGTCGGGATATTGCTTCTACAGCTTCCACGGGATGAGCCATTTCTGAAAACGCAAGAGCAAGAGAGGGTGAATAATTACTATTTAAGTAAAAATTTGACTAAGTGGTATATTGAAACATTCAATGGCTTCATTTCATGGAGTAAAATATGAGAAATAGACCTTTCCCGAAATCGATTTTGACCGAATTTTGTTTGATATTTTAACAAATAGATGCTCAACTCACCAACAATAGCTTGTTGCAGATGCCTGTTGATCTGCACAGTAGCCACGGAGCCAGCCACGCTGAGCAGATCACCCACATCGTTCTCGCTCGCCCTAGGATCAACCTGAGGCCCCAAACGGGAAAGCAAACAAGGGATGATGACAAACGTTACTTACACACGAAGCTCGGAGAGTTTCTGAATCTTTGTCTAAAGACAGGAAGATCACTTCATGAAAATTGAAGTATTTCTATTGCAAAATTTATTTACAGTAAATTGAACGAGAACCATGACAGCAAATGTTACTAAAAATTCTGAGGTAGGAGTAATTTTTTTCTTTTCTGACGTTTAAATGGATGGGCAGATAAAAGAATTACGAGCTGGAGAAGAAATTTGTTCATAAATTGAAATTTATTCTCGATTTCAAATAGAAAAATTAAACATATTTACTCATTCAACCGATTGCACGAATGGAGTGATGCCTGTTACAGCAATTTGAGAATTCATATGAACGGTTGACGATGGGAAAATTTTCAGTTACTCTCAGAAAACTAATTTTTATCTAATTCATAACATCAGCGGCTCTTGGTCGCTTTGACACACGAGCATGATGATGGTCACGAAATAGATCGGTAAACAATAGGATATTTACTGCGAAGAAATGACAAGGAAATCGGAACTTCTAGCTACTGCCTAACAAGATACTTCTAGCTACTTAACAAGTAGGTCTTTACTCTTTAGTAAAAAAGCTTGAAATGACTGCCGCTGCCATTTTTTTTCGCTGTACCAGGGTCGGTTTCAATTAATGTAAGCAAAAGATCTCGAGAACAAGAAAGCCTGGCCTGAACGGTCTGAAGAGTTCAACAACAGCGAAGCAGCAACCAAAATATGTACTTCCTATAAACCTATGTCTTCATGTCTCCACGTATTAATTGAATGGACTGTATACAACGGCTAACTTGATTGGCTTGGTAGATTTGATAACGAACCCAACAGCAAACCCATATCGTTCATAGGAGATAAATGAGAGCAATTTAATGCAAATTTAAAGCGAATAACAAAGACACGCAAAAAAATTAATCTACGAGCTCATCTAAAACAATGCGTCACTTTGAGATCTTCAGTCGGCAATATAATACTACGGTAGCTCACATTTATGAGCAATTGACTTGTTTCGGAGCTTGAAGAATAAGATAGAATACTACAGAATGGTAGTTTTTAATTTTTAGTGAAGGTGATCTAACCTATGTGGATACTCATATCCTCAAAAAATCAGTAAAGAAAACACGAAATGGACTTTTTGGAGAAGAATGCGACTCACTAAAAAATCAATAATCGATTTAATCGCAATAATTCATTTGATCGAACCTTAAAGAAAATTATTTAAATGCTTACAGCTGATCACTCACGTTACTTATCAGAACTTTGGGCACAAGCGGAAGCTCGATGTTCAAATTGTTGAGGTAGTCAGGAGAGAGACCGTAGGTCTCGTTGGCAGGATCTGGAAATGCAATCGGCGGGGGCACCGGGAGAGCAGCAGCAGCAGCAGCGACAGGATGAAGCATCGGTTCCAGTCTTGCACCAATCAAAGTGTGGGCCGGATCATTGTAATCAAAGGGAGGTATTTCATGACCTATTGGTCCACGGTCCATAGGGTGAATAGGAGGGTGAGGCAGACCGTAATTAGGAGCGTCAATAGGCGGTCCCATTACCGGCATGTCAGGCCTCGGCGCCTGAGGAGGACCGTCGTAAGCAGCGTTTCGGTATGGCATATCGCTTCCAGAATTTGGCGTTCCGCGTTCTGGTAATACATTTCCTTGCAGATCGCGGGGCGCGTCAGTGTCCTAAGAGAAATAAAATGTGCACTCATGCAGTCAATAAACGAACTTTGTTCTGTTAGCACTCGAAACGCGCACACAACGCAGCGAATTTCAACGTGTACCGTAAACCGCCTACAGGGGAGTGGAGTCAAAGATATCGCTTCAATTCAAGTTTTTATGAGAAAAAGTTGTACCGCTTCGCTGGTACTAACGCACAATGAAGTGGTGAATGACGCAATTAGATGTCTCATTTTGAGTTAACCGGTAACTATTTCTGAAGATAATTGAAATACTGACGGCAATGCACTGAATGACTAAAAATTTAATAGAAGCCCAATTTCAAAGTGACCAATAAAAAGGTACTGAATTCAGTCTATACAATCAAAGTAATTCATTATAGAGAAAATATTCGAATAAATATTGATTTCCAGAAAGCGATTCCTTACCCCAAATCGGGTGCATACATTTCGTTAATTTAAAATTTCCGTAACCAGATTACTGACGCGCTTCAGTACTTATCCTCACTAAATACTAGTAGACCGACGCACACAAGGATCAAGAAGCTCAATGCAACGGATAATTAACGTACTAGTTGATTGGCACTACGAATTTGTCACCCACACTCGATAACGTCGATTAAAAATTGTTAACATGAAGATTTATTTTTACGATCGGTAAGAATGCACCAAATCTCAGGAAATTGAAAATTAATCCGTCATCTAATAGAGATTTAAAACCTAGAACGCTAACCGAAGGTCGTATTCATTCGTGAGCGCTGATCAAAGGTCGTATTTCATCAAAGGAAGATTTTGATTTTACGCTGAAACATTTAGGTCAGGTTCATACTTCAATCGAAAAACAACAAGTGAATTGCAAACAACCGATTCGATGAAGACTAGATCTCGCGAATTAAGATAAGATTTGTCGGAGCATCAAAGAAGGAATCTTTCCCTATAGTCAAATGGAGGGAATGAACCCTAAATGAAGTTTCAGTAAACGCGAGTAACTACTTTTCCGGCAGACTTGAATAACTTTTAATAAACACGCGGAAAAATCGTCAAGTCGCACAAAACCTGTCCATACAGTGAGACCGGCCGCACCTGTCAGAATTTATCTATTCTTATTTACTTTTTATCATCAAACATCAGTAAAATGGTAAGAAGCATAAATAAAATAATTGTGCCGTCGTTCTGCAACTAGAAGACAATGTCAGTTTTGTAAGCATTTATAAGAAGAAGACTTAACGACGATGAAACTAGTGTTTCTCTGCACCAAGACCACGAGAAACCCGTTTGTTGAAACCAGTGCAGAAAAAGAAAAAAAAGCCCGGCTAACCTTATGCAAGTTTTATGTTGGATAGAACATGCATGATCTATACAAGGTCACGGACCTAGGTTCGGCTGAAACATGGTCAAATTAACAACAGGATCCATGATGATATCAAACTTACGCGCTAACGAAACGAAATTTTTGTGATTGACGCAAAAAACAAATTTATAACTGTAAAGAGAAATTTGAAAAAGAAGAATACAGCCAAAATTTGTTAACTATTGTAAAAGTCGGCAATGACGCAATGTTGCTTATCATATCAAACAAACTCGCAGGAACAAAATAGGCTAATTTTTCACCGCTGGATCCAAGTGTTTTTGAGCTCGTTTCGCGTTCTTCCAAGTGTAATGAGTGAAGAAAAGTGAAGGCTGCAGCAGTCACAATTTCACTAACAGATCTCGAGTCAATCAATCACACAAAATTCTATGACTCAGCACTATGGCAGGTGCATATAAGTTTACGTATTCACAGACGTGAAAATTTTAAGTAAAAAACAGGGTAATATTCACAATAATTGCAAAAGCGAAATAAAATAACTGATGAAATATGCGGTTCCCTGCAATCATGGCTGCCAATACGGAACATAAACTAATTTCAGATCAGCATAGAACTTGCAGCAGTGAAATCATGAAATATCTTTATCTTCTCTTGTTCTCACCAAACTGTACAATACAGACAAACCTGATCCAGTCAGGCACGAAATTTGTACACATGATTGGAGTGAAAATGTCAATGGGAGAACGTTCCCTAAACTTCACTACAAAATTTAATGATAATTGTGACCAATTCGGGCAAGCTCTGGTGTATAAGAAGAATTTCTGACTGATTTCCAATGCGCCCAAATCATGGCGTTAACAGAAATGATACCTAGAAAATATTAATTAGGATCTATGGCACCCAGAAGAAGGAAATGTTGCGACGTAAGGATAAATTCAAGTCATTAAAGCCTGCATGATTCAAATAGTAGCCGATATTGTGAGGAATAAATTATAGATCTGCATGAAATAAGATCCGTGAGCGTAATATGTTTCGAAGATGTTACTGAGAAGGACGCTTTTACACGGAACTACTCTCGGATTAAAGATGGAATGAGACCACTGCACTAGAATAGCATGTACTGAAATCGCATTAAGTTCAGAAATGAAACGCCCGAAGTCAGACGGCGAAAGTCATTAAAACCGGTTAACTCATCAAGGCACGAATATAAATAAGCTAGTCAATGCTGAAATAAATATTTGAAAATAAGGCACCACTTAGCGCAAATGACGGCTTTCAATAATAAATACTATAAATGGAAGGAAAATTAATTGTGGCACATAATAAAAATGCAACTTTTCAAAAGCTAGTGCTCACAGAACGAGACTCGAAGCAAATTTCGAGTCTCAAAGAAGAATACGATGCTTTTGAGCCGACAAGACGCGTAAGAAATGAACTCGTTAACGAATATAATCTAAATTAAATTAAGGAACAATAAAGATCATTAAAAAAATATTAAGAAATAGCATGCACTACTTCATTTCTAAGCACGGTCCTTGAATCACACCAGCATCCAACTGACTCGCGGCAGATGTGTTGAGTTCATAAACCAATGTAATGCCACTAAAGCTAATAACCATTAAATCTATTCACCGTTACATTTATTGAGAGTCATATGGACTCATTTTAAGCGGAACTTACCATGCGCAGAAAAATCTGCCTTTGCTTAAGATTGAACTTCTGCATAACCGCGTAGAATTTCTTGGCGGCGGTCGGTGTGACGAACTCGAGCAACATATTGCCATTGAAGCAGCCTTGGTTGTTGCGGAAGGGCAAAATGTACTGCAGACCACCCACTGCAAGAAGCAAATAAGGTCCAAAGGCCCATAAAATAACGCATCATAAAATAGCTCACGCAGGTTCGGTCAATGCCAGTTAATACGAACAAACGGCGTCTGAACCAACGCCGGCAATAGGATAAGTGCGCGTGAAAACTCAACAGGCCGGCATGTCGCTCTTTGTCAAAACTCATTTGCGACGAAATGCAATAGCGACCAATGTAGTGGACTTTGTAATTGCTACATAATTAGCAAGGAAAGATAATGAACGGATAAATTTGTAGTAAATGCTGAAATAATTCTCCCAATAATTGGCTCGCCTTGAATAATCTCCGTTTAGAAAAATCTTAACTGAAGCCGCCATTGAATCGAATTGTAAATGCACAAAGTAACATACGAAAAAGTGTCTAGATTCGGAGAGTAAATACGTTTAACTTTAACCTTAATGTTAAAAAATAACGTGGTTATGAAGACGTGGCTCTTCTTTTGGCCAATACAAGTTAGCCTCAATCTTAAATGAGAAAATTTCTTGCGCTGTTTGTGAATCAAGCCTTGGAAGTAGTTGGAAGAGGAGGCTATGATGGCAGAGAGCAGTACAATCTCTATCAGCAGTGGCACGTGTCAAGAGCCAAACTAGTTGGTTGATTCTCACGATCGAATTCAAAAATTTTCAACATAAATACCAACTATTCGAAAGGTATGCGTGCTTTTTAGCAGATTGTATGATTAAAACGGAGGTCAACCACCTATCGCTGATGGAGTTTGCACGCGTTAATGTGCCGTGTAATGAATTGGTCTCAGTATAATGTAGTATCTTCGGCATTGAAGAATAGGCCTGGATAGGCCTGTCGCCGATTCTTGTATTTTTCTCGACTAGACTGGCCTTTTGATCAAATATTTTCAGCGGACGCGGTAGGTTTAAAATCGTTCTTACTAAACCTAAGGTAAGTTTCTCAGAACAATAGAAGTTACACAGTCCTCAGTAGGTCAGTAGATACAATTTCTGGGATCGAAGATATCGGCTGGCAATTTCACTGAAGAGCTCTCAGTAATTCCTCGCCGTGCATCAGAAAAAGCGGTATACACAACTACATGAAAATAACTCTCAGAACAAGCATTAAAATATCACATCGTCCTCCATCTCAATAATATTATCTGGCAAAGATTAATGGCAAGGCCACTGAAATAGCAGAATAGATGCCCTTCAGCCATTAATCGGACATTCGTACACCGCCTAACTAGAAATTAACAACCGGCGCTCTGTAAAAGCGACCGCCATGCCAACTTCGGAAGAATATATTGTACTGCTACCTTTGCTTCTGAAAAATGGAAAAAATAGAATAAAAAATAACCAATTGGTTCAATCAATATAAGTAAATACAGGTAACATTTTTGCGCTCCTACCACGCGCAAAATAATATGATCACGAAATCTGGTCTCGTTGACTGGCCTGCCTAATGTCAAACATATTATCGGTAATATTAATTCTATATCAGATGCAAATGCACGGCCACGCTGTTCCAAGTTCACGTTTAATCAATTATCAATCACACACCCGCAATTAACTACATTCCAAGTTATTCACATAAGCCGTATTTTTACAACACTTCTCTTTAACTTCACTTTTGATTGATGGTCGGCTACTGATCTTATAATCGATATTTAACACACTTCTACCTCTTCCAATCAATCTGAAATTTTGCATACTAGTATATAGTCACCGACAATACATGAATGAATCGAGAGAATGAATAATTTTAAAATTTTAATTTCTTTATGAGTTAAAATATCTGAAAATACTTTTTTTTATATTTAAAAGAACAAAATAAGAAATTCATTGTACATGTTTAACACCGGAGACACTGGCCTCTTTAAAAGTGTTGTCTTTAAAAAGTAATTTTTAAACGCATTTTATTATATCTCTATTGAATTTCTACTACAATACTCGATTTCCAACTAAATTGAAACGTTGCGTATAAATTTGACCACACGAATTAGACCCTCCTTATTTATATTTTGAGAGCCTTTTGCGTCAGAATAAGTAATTTTTCAATCATTTCTTCAGGGCACGATTGAAGAATATATAGTGTAACGTACGGATATGAATATTTTTTAAATTACAATGAGTTTCATAGTTCTTAACAGGAGTCTTAAATATACTCAGACTATAACTGAAATAAAAAACCGGAACTAATCCGAGTCTGTAACTCTTAACATTCGTGATTGCTCAGCAAAAGCAAAATATGAATGTAATAACGCTGAAAAATAAGAACTCTGTGGTTCTCTTCTCCAGAAGCTAAGAGAATAACTCCAAGAACGTTCAGGCGTATCGTCCTACTGGGCCTAGTGTTTAAATTGGTTACAATTTAGGATACACAAAGATTTTATATAGACAGCAAGGGACATCCGGCTGTAGCCGAAAGTTCAATAACCCAAATCGATTCGAATCGGAAAATTGTTTCGAAAACATTTCAGAGGCCTTTTTGTAGTGATATTAGTATGGTTTGCCAGCCACTGCGGATGGTCTCAATAACTGATAATTTCTCAAATTATTCATTATCCACAGAGAGCGGGAGGTCTCAAGTGGCCAGGCTGTTGAAGCATTTCAGACCAAGTGACAAGGAGGGGCAGGTGAAAAGCAACAGAAACTGAAACATTCATACAAGAGGTAGCTTATACGAAACGTCGGCCGCCCGCACGAGAGAGGAAGAGAAGAGAATCCTGCCTACATGATAACTTAGCCTCACAACTGAGACTCGCTGTCAGGCAACGCGAGCTCTGTGGTGGGGCACTCAGAAACGATGTCTCTCAGTACGCAAAATCCCATATATAGGACTTGTGACCAGTATAGACACAGGTCAGAAAACACCCTTCGGGACAGGGGCCTTCAAGATAATGTTTTAAAAACAATGACAATGTTTATCCGTTCAGCACCCCATCCACAAAGATTGAATGCCAAAAAGGCATACATCAATATCATGTCCGGGACAGGAAGCGTACAGGGGCTGTAGGGGAGAAGCAGATTTAGTATCTCAGAGACGAGGAATAAACACAACACAAACGCAGACGTTTATGCAGCCAAGACGTTTATGCACATTTATAACTCGATTTCAATTCAGTTCCAACAAGTGAGACGGCCGCTTGCGCGCGACACGGGAAAGGGAAGTATTCTGCCTACACGTTACCTTAGACCTCAAAATCTTCGAAGTAATACGAACACAGAGTTAGTTTAGACGGCCATGTATAGTTGGTGACTGCGATCAAGCGCCGCCCACCAGCGACATTGAGAAATGAACTGAGCTTCTCAAGGATCAAATTAACGGCTAGCTCCTCTCATCAAGATTCCGGTACCACTGCACAGTGGCGCTTAGCACTGCGCTACAGTACGGTAGCTTATAACACACACAGGGCCGTAATGTTCACGATTATAACGTTCACAGCTGCAACGTTCAAAATAACATTTTCAATAAACATCACTTACTCATCTCCACGTTTGCCTAGATTCTTCTCCATGTTACCTTACAATCGAGACGCACGTACAGCGAGCTCCTCACGTGGAGCTGGAGCACTCTGGGCTATGGGTGCTTGACACGAGGGCAGTAGCGGCAGAGTAAACATTTTAAATACTAAGTGCCACTATTTTCTGCGCTATTAGCCTCGTGTGTAGTCGATGCTGGTCATAAAAGCACGCATTAAACCTTTACAGGAGGCCAGTAGCAACATAATTAGTCGCAGTTAGTATTGGGCATATGTTCTGGCTGTCACTACAAGCCCCGTTTACAGACACCGCCACGTCCATAAGAACGACAAACAAACAATGTTTATAGGCCTACGTAAGAACATAAATGTATAGAAGTATACCATAAATGGGCTAAGTCGACAACCAACTTTGGAATTAAATATGAGATATGACTGGGTTATATTGTTACACAGAGAGCAAACAGCTCACTAACGGTACTAACGATCGCCATGATAAGGGATACCTATACCTATACTTTATGCTATTGACTTTCACACTCACTGAAATGAATTAATTTATAATACATAAATCCTAAGATTTCCTAAGATGTAGGAAATATTCAACGCAGAGACACAAAAATTTTACGAACCCGCAAAAACTTTGAACCATCGTTTGAGGAGGAAGATTCACGTTGCAACTAGTGTTGTAAAAGGCAGAAAATTCATACTTGCATCGAGCGAGAATAATAGGATATAAAGACTAAGTGGATCGTTAAGTTCCGTAAAAACGAAAGTCATCTTCATAAAGACTAGAGCTTATCGGCCCCGTCTTTCGTTCTCAACTTGGAAAAGATTTTAGTGTTACAGGAAAAATAGATTTGTTCATGTTAGCATAATTTTCTTCGAACATACAAACAAGGAAGCTGTCCGTTGTCGTCCTGAAAGAAATAGCGAACTCGCCATTCGTTCCAATTTTACACAAGTTGTATAGTAAAAAAAAACACTTGCGCCGTGTTTTTGTGTCAAACACACACCTGTGTCAAGGTGTGTGTCAAACACACACCTTCGTTTGATGCCGTGGTCAAAAATGACTCACTCTCAAACGACGTCTATTACCAGTTGTTTCAACGCAATGAACTCGCATTCGTCGACGTCGTTTGAACTTAATGAGCTGGTCATTCTAATAATATCTTGATACTGCCGAGGGGTTGGATTAGCTTACTTTCTGTGATAATCATACACGTCACGCATCCGCTGATGAATGATGGATGGCACTGTAGCTAACTGTGGAGTGAAGACACTGAAGAGTTACCGAACAGAGACAGGCAATAGTTGGAGGCCCGAGGTCTGTGCAACAGCCTGATTCGTCGGCTACGGCGAGAGTCAGCTTGCGATCACCACGTAAAATGCTTGCAAGTGGTAAAAGATTGAAAGCTCACAAATACGATTTTCAATACATTTCCAAACGAATGCTTCAAGAACCTTTACAGGTCTACTGCTTTCCAATGACGGCACTTGGGTCTTGAAACGTCCAATATTTCAATGGTGAAAGTTACATC